GGCCTACTTTTTAAAAATAAAAATAAAACCCATTTGTCTGTGTTGACTCTATTATCCCTTAGTCAACTGATTCTTAGGAAGACGTCATATGAACTAGGAGACTAATGAGGTGTGTTCCTCTGTCTCTCTGAATACACAGTGTAAAGACGGCCTAGTGATACGCCTTATGCTATCGGAGGATAATTACTAAACAAGGATCTTTAGAAACTCTAATCTGCATGAAAAACTTAGCCACATTTTCCCCAATATTCCAAACAAAGTTCATTTTAGAAATGAAGCACTTAGCATGTCAGGACCACTGGACTGTGTTCTGTAGTCCTCAACAGCCTCGATGGTGGCAGAGGAACCCACTGCGGGGCAGGTGAAGGGAACGCCAGTTTCTGCTCCCAAACCAACCCCGGCCTCGGGCAGCCATGACCTAAATATCTTAAAAGGATCTGGCTGACTTTGGGGAAGGACACGGCAGGGGGTGTCACGTCTTTAGGCTGAAATCTTGTGCAAAGGATAAGTACATGCCTCATCTGCAGGTATTTCTACCTGCCCATCTCTCTACCTGCCTTTCCTAACATTTAAAGCAAATTTCATGAAATGCTTTCTTGAAAACAACCATCTTACTTGTCAAGTCCCTTTTCCAAATACTAAGTCTTAATATGGGAATTTATTGGGAAATTGTATCTTCGGTAATCAATGGGAGATTGACTTGTTTTTTTGATACAGGGTCTCTTGTTCTTTAGCCCAGGCTGGAGTGCGGTGGCACGATCTCAGCTCACTGCAACCTCTCCCTCCTGGTTTCAAATGATTCTCCTGCCTCAGCCTCCAGAGTAGCTGGGATTACAGGTGTGAGCCACCACGCCTGGTTAGGTTTTGTGTTTTTAGTAGAGATGGGGTTTCAACACATTGACCAGGCTGGTCTTAAACTCCTGAACTCAAGTGATTCACCCGCCTCAGCCTCCCAAAGTGTTGGGATTACAGGCATGAGCCACTGCACCTGGTCAGGAGATGGACTTTTGAACTTGAAATATTTTTATATTGTATTCTTAGGAGTTGAGATTTACTTAAGTAAAATACTGAATATAAACCATTATTATACATAGAAGTTTGATTGTAAATAACTGAAGTGGTTCCCATATTTGGCCAATTTCTTATGCTAGTCAGAACATCCAACCTCTCTTCCTTTTCTGAAAAGCCACTCTGTCCTTACATAGGTAAATGCATTCTGAATTAAAACTTTAAATGATTTTTTTTCTCCCTTAATAGACAGTGAAATGAAGAATTAAGCTGATTTTTAAGTGTCATTGGGAGTTTCAGGGTTGTCCTGGCAATAAAGCTTGTGTGCTGTCTTTGAGTGGGCTGTTACATGAACACCATTTCTCAACTTGGTGTCCTCAGTAATAACCAGGCTGTTTTAAATGTAGCTCATGGGTTTCTCTCTCAGACAACCTATGAGGGAAAACAGAATTCCCATTGACTTTCATGACCTCTGATTTAAAAGCAAAGATTGCACATTATTTACTATTGGATGCCTTCCCTGAAATGTAATGAGGACTAAGTACAAATATGACAGATGTAATTATCATAGTTTTATCCTGCACAGCCAGGGCCTTCCTTTGCTGTAATTGTAAGCTTTTCATTCAGCTGCCACTAGGAAGGTAATTATCATTGTACCTTCAGCTATTTCATAAAGACAAGTCACCACCGATTTCTTCTGCTTCATTCTTACAACCCAAATTTGGAAAAAAAAAATTGTGGTATGAAATAAAGGCAAGACATAAAAGGTACCATAGAATTACTTCTCCCTCCTGGCCTCACCTTCTCACCCAAGCTCCTGCCCAGTAAGGCCTGGAGAGGGAGCGGCATGAATGTGCAGGAATTCATCCCCCAAACACACGCCTCCTCTAGTTCCCATACGAGCGTGAAAGTTGTCCATCGTTTCCAGCTTGACACAGTTGCTGCCCTGGGCACTGCTGCCCACGTTGGCTTGGCTGTGGCCTGGAATAGCGCAGACATCTGCAAGTTGGAACCCATCAAGTGGGGGAGAGTTGGGCCCAGCTGCAACACTGAACTCTCGTCTTTTAGGCTTGTGAATCATGGCTTTATTCCTCATTTTGGCCTCATCAAATGGTTCATCTCAGGGAAAAGGGACCTCAACATGGCTTTTCTTTTCCTTCGGACAGTTTCGTGTTGCCAACTCTGCTGCACATGGTACAGGAACGGAATCCAGGCATGCACACCTGGCTCTACCAGAACGCATGTTCTGTTCATCAAGTGAGAGGCTGGCACATCAGTGAGGCTTTGGTTTGATGTTTTTGAATTAGAATTGATGACAGAAAAATATTACGTGCATCACATCTTATTAAGGAAGATGAATGAGGATCTTTGAAACCCAGACGGAACCAAGGTTGGGAGTCAACCTCTGCTGGAAGGAAGTGATTCCTTCTTAAGAATGAACACATAAATAGAAACCTGGGTTCAGGTGGTGTACACCAAGTACACTAGACCAGTTCTTCACTTTGAGTTCACTCTCTCAAAGCCGAACATGCTCACTGTGTGGGCCGTGAAGTGCCGGAAAACGGGACTGGCTCAGGCATGTGGGAATCTTCCCAGTGTGCTTTATCCCACGGGTGTGCTGAGACCAGCAGAGCCGAGAGCTGAGCACCATCCACCATCAGTGGCCACTGAGACCAGCACGGCCAAGAGCTGAGCACTGTCCATCATCAGTGGCCGCGGCCTGCAGGCAGTGGGGCCAATAATTTCATCCAAAGCTCCCTATGGATGAGCAAAGAAACTTCAAGATACCGTAGGGTATGATTTGTGCCTTGATCACCTGCTCTGTCTCACTCAGCCCTAGAACAGTGTCGCATCCTGCAGGCACCGTGTTTGATTAAAGGCGAAAGTGGAATTTTAGTGAGATGTCCTCATGCTTCCCTGAAGACCAGAATTGAGAAGAGTTGTTCAAAGGGGCAAACATGACAACCAGTGTCTGCCACAAATCCGCATGGAGCCCCAGCCTCTCCACTGCTGGTTTAAAATGCCATCCACCAGGTCTCCAAAGCCCTGGCCCTGGACAGTGTCCCATCCCACCCCCGCCACCTGCCACCATCTGAACAGCCAGTCCAAGTGTCCCTAGCCTGTGGCTTCAGCCTTCTCCACGCTCATTTCTCTCCCTCCTCTGCTCACCCTGGAAGGGCTGCAAGCCCCCCCATTCAGCCCTGCTCCCCCCAGAGGTCATGACAGGGAAGGGGGATGCCCAGAGTTAAATAGGGTGAGAGCCGCATCCGGCATGGGCTGAGAGGAGCCCCTGGGAAGTGAAGGACCACAGGCCACAGGGACTCACACCTCATGGTGCAGGAGCTGCTGCTACACTTGTCCACAGAAACACAGGACAGCCTGATCTCCACTGCACCTGTGTCTATCCCAGGGGGAGGACCAGCCAAAAAACGGTCTCTTTCTTAAGAAACAGGGTCCCATTCGCTGGAAAAACTTCAGGAAAACGAATCTAGAATTCTGGACCTGCCTCCGTGCTACTGATCATTACAAAAAGCAGAGACCGAGGACTCGTGTGCCCATGCCCAGTGAATAAACAGGAAATGAGTAGCTCCAGGAAGAGGAATGACACCCACTACGAATCTCTCCTAAAAGCCATGTCTTCTAGTCAGGCAACTGTCCAGTCGCCACTGCTGGATGTTCTACAAGTCATGGAACCCACCGCCCAGCGTGAGCCGGGACCCACACAGCTCATAAACAGCCCCACTGGTGAAGGAACAGAGGAGTGGCGGGAGTCCAGTGGGCAGAGTGGGTCCCGTGCACCACAGAGGCGCTGAGCCAGGCGGGGATGCGATTTCCCCCAAGAACCTTCCCGCGTGATTTGCCGTGTCCATGATGCCCGATGGAAAGCCTGGGGCCACTGCCCTGGCGACACACTTACGATGGGGCTGGCGTTGATGTAGTCCGAGTGGCTGTGGCTGTTCTCCGCCTTCAGTAGGACCCGGGAGTGGTCATCTGCAAGGACACAGTGCAGGGGTCAGCGGAACGTTGGCCCACCCAGCAGCATGGGACCCCCACCTGGCCTCCGGGGCCCACCATCCAGCAGCGTGGGACTCCCAACCAGCCTCCAGGACCTATAGCGCAGCAGTGTGGGACCCCTGCCCAGGCTTCAGGGCCCACCCGTGTCCTCTCCCAGGACTCTGCTCACACCCTCCTGAATGTGGTTTCTAATGTTCCTGTTCCCATCCTCCTCTCTCTTTGTGATCCTCCACGTGGGAGGCAGACGAACGGCATGTGGGGAAGTGGTACAAAGCTCCCATTCAGCAGAATGGAGATATCCTGGTGTTTTCCCCCACGTGGAGTTCACACACCAAGGTCAGGGGGTTCTCTGCAGAAATTTTACACCATGTTGGCCTTTAAATCACAGACACACTTGGCAACACACAGCAGGTAAATGGAAATAGGAACGTTAAGCAATCGGCCACCTTCCAAAATAAAAAGTTTCATAGTCAATGAAGAGTTAAGTCCTCAAGATTACCGGAATTTAGTTTTAAAAGGAGAGTAAGAGATAAATAAAATGCAGATAAAGAGGAAATAGAGGAGAAATGTACCAGTGGAGACTGGCATAAAAACTCGCTTGGACAGGCCGAGTAACCTGATGGCTGCTGAAGCCGGGCACAGCACGGGGGACGTTCGGCACTTGTGACGTTGTGATACACCAGCTGTCTTGGCTTTGGTTCTAGGGTAACCCCCATTCTGCTTACTGCGACTGCCCTCCTCTTTGCCCTGTTTTTAGAAACTTCGATCAGCAGAGCTCACAGAGGAGGAGAAGCTGAAAGAGCCCCTCCTGCATCTCCCACCTCCCCGGTGTGCAGCCACTTCCTTTTCTCTGCAAGGTGCTCTTTGTATTATGGGATCTTAGGGGTGTTGTTTTTCTGTCAGAAATCTCTGTGGCCAGTGGCACCTTTGCCCAAGTTTTGCTCAGGCTGGGCCTGGCAGGCCGTGTTTGGCTCACACTACCAGCCTGGGTCCTACGCCTGCCAAGGGCGAGTCAGGCATGCAGCGGCGAAGGGTGTGTGAGGAGCGTGGGGTCTGGTCACACCAGTCAGGCACACTGGGTGCTGCAGCAGGGTGGGCAGCTCCAGGTGCCAGCATGGGCGCTGGCTCTCTGTGAGGCTGCGGCCAGACCAGGCAGGCTGCAAGCAGCTTCCATGGTTGACACTAAGGAACATGGTAGCTCCTGGAAGTCTGGAGATGGCAGGAACCACAGGGTCCCAAAGATGGAATCACAGGCCTGGCTTGGGGAGCTCCCAGTTCTGGGCTCCCTTCTCAGAAGGAGAGAGCTATTCTCTCCTTCTCTTTACCCACAATGTGGCGAGCAAGGGGCATGCCTCAGCCCTGTTTGTGCCGCAGCTCTTCTAGCCCCACCATTAGACAGGTCCCGAGTTCTTGTTCTGCAACCAGGAAGAACAAGGTACGGAGACAAGCGAAGGGTGAGCGAGATGAAGAGGAGCTTCACTGAGCAATTCAACAGCTCAGTCTCCCACAGGGGGCAGCTCCTTTCTGCAGCCAGGGGGTCCTGATGAGTGTTCAGCTCCTAGCAAAGAGGAGGCTCTGGAGTGGGTAGCTCCTCTCTGCAGGCTGCTTGTCCCATTGTCTCTACAGACCTCAGCCGAGAGGAGGCCTTGGAGAGGGTAGCTCCTCTCTGTAGCTGGTCATCCCCATGTCTGCCCAGCTCTGGCTGAGCCTGAGGCATTTATGGGCCTCAGAGGGGAGGAAATACATGCTGATTGGTCCATGGGTGGCCATGGGCAGGCCTGGAAAAGGCACCATGAGTTCCCACTCTGATCCACAGGACTCGCAGTCCAGCCCCCAGCCTTCAAACCCTCCCTGGCCTGAAGGTGGTTGAAGGTGGTGCCTCATGGGGACCTACTCCCTTTTGCCCAGGAATCTCTGCCTCCTGCTGCCATTCATGGCACCCAGGCTGTTTGTGCCAAGGGGCACCTGCCGGCCAGAGCTGAGCTGCCCTTAGCCCTCCCTCAGCTTCCCTCCCATGCTTGTTGGTGCCCAAAGTCCAGAGGGGGCTGAGGTGGCAGGGGGCTGGTGTGTCAGCACTGCCCTGAGTGTGCCCACACCTGCTGAGCTGTGACAGCGCCCGGGCTCGGCCCTGACTTTGCTCCAAGATCAGCATGGGTGCCAACAGCAGGGAGAATCCAGGCAGCAGGAGCAGACACTTCCTGCAAGGGCAAGGATCTTCTTCCTGGGTCCCCAAGAGTGCAGGGCTGCCTGGGTCTGCAGCTACGGTTCGGGCAGCTGCAGCTGCTTCCCGGGGTGGGGGTGGGTCCTGCCTGCTTCATGGAACAGGATGCCCAGGTCACGCCTCCCTGCTGCAGCCGGTGTGATGGTAGTGACCACTTCAGAGGGCCTGTCACTGACATCCCTGGCTGAAATCTGAGAGACAGCGTCTCAGCTCTGCTGCCGTTTGTCCCAGGGAAAACTTTTCAGTGCTGCACACAACACAGATTTCCTTCTCTTCTGAGAAAACAAAAGCACCCTGGCTGGAGCCCTCGGAGGCCAGTGCTTGGAGGCCATGGGTCCCCTCTGGACCTGTTTCCCAACTCCAAACTCACCAGGCACCTCCTGCGGGCGCTGGCACCAGAAGGAAGTGGCCCTAATCATGGAGCAGTGTGGTGGTGGTGAAGCTGCGCAGATTCTGCTTTTCTATGTAATTCTTTCGTTTTTCTTGGAGATTTTACTTATATTTTTTAAAACAACAAATTCTAGGGCTTGGGAAACTTAGTGTTTTAACTGATTTAACTAGGAAGGTACTGTGCACTAGAGATCAATACAATCCAGGTTGGATGCCGTCCTGACACCCTCCTTCAGGTAGGAATGTCAGCCTCTTTCAGGGGTGACAAGATGGGGTAAGATAAAACATCTAGAAAGAGGAGAAAAATGCATATGTACATATGCACATGCCGTATGTAGCTGAATGCCTCAGGAATGTCGTGAAGCTGCAAATCATCCCGTCAGCTTTGAACGCAGGTGTGAATGACGCAAAAATCCCAGGGACTCAATGGCTTTTAGCTCCTGCACAAATTAGTTCTTGGAGAGTGAAAATTGGCAGTGGCAGGAAATTGTAATGCGAATAATCAGAAAAAAATTGGTGGACTCTGACATGTGAACACCCCACAGACACTACTCCAAACATTGATTCCAGAAGCCCAATTTCACAGTGGGGCCACACAGAACACAGCCAGAGATGAGGCTGTGGTCAGAGGTGCTGGGCTGGGCCCGGTGCTGCAGCCCACACAGAGCTTGGGAATAAAAGCAGTGCCTCTGGCTGCTTCCAGGGGCCTCCGGGCCCTGCCTCATTTTCAGCACAGCCACCGTTAGGCACTTGTGAGACCAGCAACTGGGGACCGCTCTTACGTGTCTTGAGAAGGCTTTATCAAGAGCAGGGTCACGAGGGAGCAGGGCAGGGAAGAGGCAGCGCAGCTCGGAGCCCCCAGGCTCCTGACCTGGCTTGGTCTGGTGCTTTGACGGTACCCATTGATCCCTGAGACCAGCGGCCTGGTCTCCGGTGTGTGTGTGGGGTGGGGCACAGAGGAGGCATCAGGGCAGCGTGCTAGGAGCTCCTCCTCAGCCGAGCGGTCCCTGCCACCAGGTCCTGTGAGCAACAGGCCATGGGGAAAGTGGCCACTGCCACTGGACTCAGCAGACAAG